TTTTTTTTTTGAAACTGTTTATCCACAACAAAGAGATTACCTTCACGAAATAGTTTGAAAGCGATTCCGATTTTTCTGCCTACGTTAGGCTGAGGAAATTATTAACAAAATTCCTTCGCTGTGCTGCTGAAGGTATGAACGAATGCCGAAACTTTACTGAACTGTTTCATAACGATTATCTAAGAATCCATATCCTAAACAAGACCACTTTTAACGAAAATCAATAATTGAAGGAAAAAGAAATCTAAGGCATAAATTAAGTTTACCTGCAATTAGGGGAACACCAATCACTCCTGCTACAACATAACCACATGTCTTCAATACGCGTTTCACAATTTCGATAATCCTGCTTCTTGAAAGAGATTCGCTTGTATTTAACATCCCGTGGCTTAAATCTTCCCTTGTAAGTTCCTTTTCAACGTGCAGAAATAGTCTCTGTAGGTCGTTTTCTTTATCAAATTGTCTAGGAGCGTAGTTTTCGGTATCGCCGGCGTCGCCCAAAGTCAAGCTGATATTTGCCGAGCTCAAGGGTGTTTCTGGATCGTCGGAATCTTGTACAGGTCGTTTTTCTTCGCGCCATTTTCCTTCACATTCTTCGCAAAGTAGCAGTGACTTGTTGTCGTAGCTTGGTGCAAGAGGTATTAAGCAATACGCGCATGCCTCTGTAAAGTCTCTTGTCGTTTTGTACTTCGATATTACGTCCTGAAAAACAACTGGAGATTCGTTGATCTCCATTGAAAGGTGAAAAAATCTATTTTTCTTTGCCACTTATCTGTACTCAAGGCTCTTATACAGGACCAAATGTCTGCTAGGATCACTGTAACTGACTTATCAATCGAACCGTTTCTTAACCGTTCAAGTCTTCAAGTGGTAGTTCGTTTATTTTATAGTTGCGGCGCGCGTCAACAAAACGAAACACACGCGTTTCGAAAACAAAATGCGCGTGCAAGATTGTAGCCGCCACGAATGTAAAAGCAGTGGAATACCTTAAGAGGGAATCCGCCAGAAGTTCGAGAAACAAGTGGACAAAAACTTTCTGCCAAGATTATCTACATTTTATTGCAAACTTCTGTGCGACTGTTTTAAATATCTTCTCTAAAGGAATCATTTCTAACAACACCAAATGTCGTGAAGTTCATATGAATTTTACCTGTGTTTGCACAATTTCTCTGAACTTTCATTTTCTCATTTTCTCGAGTTCTCATGGGAAATTGATTTTGGTGTTATTTCAGGAAACTATTTATATCTTTAGCTTTTAGAAAATGCAAAAAGGACTGTAATATACCTAAAATTATTCTGGTATAAAGTTTTTGTCCACTTAAAACTGAGCACTAACCAAGAATTGATTTGAACCAACTAGCAGAGTCGGCTATTCAAATTGAAGCTTATAGTGGATTATTTTGGAGGAAATTTGTCATTTAACTGCGCATCGGGTGAAGTTTTCCAATCTTGTATGGGAATATAAATCTTAATTGACCAGGAAGGAAGAGAAAAAAAGAGAGAAACAACAACAACGACAAGCTATATTTCGGTATCTTGCTTTGAAATGATTTATTTTTCTCGGCTACATAAAGGTAGAGTACTGATCCCCTACTTCGTCTACAATAACTATGGAGGCCATGGAGTCCCACATAACACGTGGACAACTACAATAGCTCTGAATTTGTGTTAACATTACTCGCAGTCCATGTATAACCAGTAACCTGAGTTTGGCCAAGCCCGCGGCCTGGCTGTCAAAAGTCACATTAGTTTAGCATGATTTACGCTTTCTGTGGTATTGAAAACCTTTACTTTTTCTTAATTCAAAAACCTGTTCAGGACAAGAACTAAATGNTGGTTGGCTTAATGATGAGCCCCCTCATGTTGCCAAATGCTCCACTGCCTCTGTAACAGCAATGATCATTCATGTCTTTACAGTATTCAACTTTTGTTTTTTTTTATTTTGTTGGTACTGAAAGTTGTTTCTCACAAAACTAGTGCTTGTTGATCTCCGGGGGGAGGGGTACTTCCTTATATGGGCTATATAGGTATGATCTCTGCAACAATGGTCTCATATAGGGTATGTTTATTGCATAATATTTCTACAGTGAAACCTGTATTAAGCAGACACCCTTGGGACACTCACTAGTGTCCCCTTAATAAAGGGTGTCCACTCTAAACAGGTTCTAATATATATTTGTGCAATAATGGTTAATTATCAAACCTTTTGTGACACAGTGTAACAAAGTGAAAGATCAAAGACTGCTCATAGCAAAATGTTCAGTCAGACAATATATCAATCTGGAATAATCTAATTAGCTTTAAAATGACATCACTGAACAATGTTTAAGGAGTCTGAACTGGCTTGATATTGGTGTCCATGTCCACTTAAAAGAGGTGTCTGCTGAATGCCGGTTTATTTTACAGTATATGTGGGAAGGAAATTTTGGGACTCAAACTGGTGTCCACTCAATTGAGGGTGTCTACTTGATGTGGGGTCCGCATAATACAGGTTTCACTGTAGTCGTGAATTTGGGTACGTTTTTAAGAAGAAGCTATCCTTAGCTCTCTAATAAAAGCATAGAAGTACTGCCTTGAAAGTCCTTTCACATTGGTCTGAACTAGGAAACTAATTTTAGGTTAGGTTTGAAACAGGGTATTGATTTGAGAGTCATGTCTTCTATAGGGTATCAAATGTTTTGGTCAGGTCATAAATAGCTTAGGGAAAATCGCAGATACTGTTCTTAAATAGAGTAAGAGTTTTAGGAAGCGGGCTGCACACCCCCACCAAATTTTTCTGAGACTAAGTCCCTGGGGTTAATCTTCCTTACCAGCACCTTGCTATATGTCACACCCTTAAAATGAAGGAAAAGGGTGGACTAGGCACTGCCTTGGAGGTTCTGTGAATATTTCCAAGGTACTAGGGATCCTAACTATCAAATCAACAGGTTTTAAAAACCAGTGGACGTTCAAGTCCCAAGGGCAGCTACTGTGGTTTGACCATCTAGAGAAAAGTTTTCTTATGAGAATGCCCTCCTGCCGAAAATGTTAAATATGAAGCCCCTGTGAAGAGCACTGATGGTGGAGACCAGTGTCTGTGTTGAAGATCTACCACTGCCTGATCAAGCAGAGTATATGACCAGGTGAAGAATACGGGGGCGTCAACTAGATGCTACCACATTAGGCACTCAACTTAATGAAAGGTTAGACATCTGACTAGTTTATATTGGATGTACTGGGGTGAGTGCCATTCTCTTCAGAGGCCAAGTTCCTTTTGGCAAGCACCAAGAATTATGACTTGTGGTTGGGTCCAATTCGAAAGTCTGGGATTCACAGCCTTCCAGTGCACAGATGCTGTGAGCTGTGCATGCTAATAGTGTGGGGCCTAGAATCTTGGACAGAATAAAATGGAACAATTATCCCCCATCCCCCCCATGATGAAGGCGCGAAGGAGCAAAAACGCGCCATTTTGGCGTCATTGAAATGGGGGGAGGGGTGGTCCAGATGTTCCATTTATTTTGTCCAAGATTGCAATCTTGGACAGAATAAAATGGAACAATTATCCCCCCATCCCCCCCAAAGCAATGATGAAGGCGCAAAGGAGCAAAAACGCGCCATTTTGGCATCATTGAAATGGGGGANTCGAAAGTCTGGGATTCACAGCCTTCCAGTGCACAGATGCTGTGAGCTGTGCATGCTAATAGTGTGGGGCCTAGAATCTTGGACAGAATAAAATGGAACAATTATCCCCCATCCCCCCCATGATGAAGGCGCGAAGGAGCAAAAACGCGCCATTTTGGCGTCATTGAAATGGGGGGAGGGGTGGTCCAGATGTTCCATTTATTTTGTCCAAGATTGCAATCTTGGACAGAATAAAATGGAACAATTATCCCCCCATCCCCCCCCAAAGCAATGATGAAGGTGCAAAGGAGCAAAAACGCGCCATTTTGGCATCATTGAAATGGGGGAAGGGATGACCCAGATGTTCCATTTATTTTGTCCAAGATTGTAGCTGGAGGTCATGATTCTCTGGGGACTAGTAAGAGTAAGCACTACACCCCCCGCCCTCCCCCACCCACTTCCACCCCACTCAACTTCTGGTTAGGGGCTGAATGGTTAGGGGCTAATCAACTTGAGGGACCCCCGTCACCCCGCCTTGCCACCCACCGATATATGACTTCATACATGTAAGTGTCTTTAATATTTTAAAGTCATTCAACTTACCAGGAGTTCTACACAGCTCTCATGAACTTCTGAACAAGCAATATGCATTGGATTTTGTCCACGATTGTTTTTAACATTTACATTACTACCAGCTTCTATAAGAATCTTGAGGCAGTCCGCTCTCCCTTCACGCGCCGCAATGAACAATGGAGTCTCCGGGAACTTTGTATCAAGGTTGGCACCTGCCTTGACGAGTCTCTCTACACAGTTCTTATGCCCAGCATAAGTCGCGACCCAGAGCGGTGATAGAGCTGTGTTACCAAGTCCGATACCATCCACCCTTGCCCCTGCTTCAAGTAACAGTCTCAAGCATTCCTCGTGTCCTTCTTTTGCCGCTAAGAACAAAGCTGTAACAGCTGAACTGTTCGGACAGTCAACTTTTACGTCTTTCTCGGCGAGAAGGGCGCTTAGTTTGTCAACATGACCATTTTCTGCTGCAAATAAAAGTTGCGCTTCTTTTGGTTTCCGTTCAATGTTCGCTTCAGTATCGTTTATATTTCCCATCAAACGTAATTAAAGTTGTTCTTTTTTGTCACTCAACAATTTCTCAAGCGGCCATGTTTATTTATTTCGAGATTGAACTGGATCATGGGAATGCGGCAAAAATACCCGTCTAGGGGAGGGACTGTTGTAATTCATCTTTTATTTTCGTCGGAATTTATCTTAACACCCGAAATACAGAAATCATACTTATATAAGAGCTCTCCAAACCAGGTGTGAAACATTTTGAAGCTAAAGGAATGACTCAATTGGTCTCAAGAGGGCATAAAATATTAGTTTCTCCACAAGAGCAAGTCTACGCAAAATGTTCAAAATGGCGGCGGCCCTGGGAACGGTGGTAAACAATGAGTTTCCATAGCAACCTACGCGAAGAGAAGAGTGAAAGTAGCTTTGGGGCAAGGACGAAGGGAAGGCCTACGAAGCCGCAAATTTTCAGAAATTCAGCAGTGTGGAGGGCTAGACTGCAACAAATGCTACTACTTAGCCTCGAACTACGATACAACCTACACTGAGAGGGACTTCATTTTGATCCTCGGACCTCGAAAGACATTGTAAATTTTGTAAATAATTTCATCACGGTCAAATCCCGCCAAGCTACAGACCAAGAATGGAGTTCAACGACGTTCGTTTCGAGTTCATCTCGGAGTATACCTTAAAGTCGATGAAAATGAAGGCTGATAAATGGGCGAAATTACAAGGAAATGATGAATACAGACAAACTATTTTAGACTTTTTTGAGAAACCCGAGTATAATATAATCGTCATCTACCAGAACAATGCGGGACAACTTCAACCAACGTTTGAGTTTCCATCGTCGATGAAGGCAAAGGCTGTCTACTTCTCCAAGAAGGAGAAAGGAATGAACGTTGGAAAAGACAATTACAAAACAGCTCTAACTTATGGAGATTTATCGCATTCACCTCTGGAACAGCTGTCAGCCCTTGTAGACGAGGTAACTTGTTTTGCAAACTTGGCAATTAAGTCTTAAGTTTGTGCTTCACCATTCCCGGGAAACAATGAAATCTACAACTCGATTTATTTCACGCACAGAGCTACAATAAGCTTAATTGCACGAAATATTGCACTGATAAAGCATTTAAATTGTATTGGTTTAATATTCACGCAATGTTAACGCATTAATAGCACTGAAACAACCCGGACCGAAAATGTTATGAGTTTATTTTGCATGCGTGCAGTACATTTGTTGGTGATTATTCTTACATAACATGCGCTTAATAATGCACTTCGTCGTCAACGCAGGGGAACACAGACATTCCATTTTACTTTACGGGGTATTTGAACAAGGATCTCCTCAAATCAGAACTTTAGTTTGCAAGATGACACAGAAAAGTTCCGAAGTTTCTTCCTTTTCCCTTAAAATCGCGATCCTTAACGCTCGCGGTAATGTACTCTACGCAACAGATACGTCCTGTAACCGCGGTGCAACAATGGCCAGCTTAGCTGAAATTATTGCAATCAGGAAATCCAGACTTAGGTAATCAGGCATTTTGTGGAACATTTATAGCAAAATCACAAAGGTTGAGAGAAATGTACTGCCTTCTGTCACCTTTAAAATAACTGAAAGAGCTCAATAAAATTTTCAGCTCAAAAGTTTTGAGCTCATCAAGATTCAAGTAACACCTTTATTGAATTATTTAATCTCTGGAGATTAAGGCTCAGGCAGGGATTAACAAGTTGTTGACTTTTAACAATCTGCATTCAGCGTATCATGTATGAAGGTGCAGTTGCACGGCACAACAAGTGATGGTTCTAATGCTCATATTTTTCTTTTTTTTTTGTTTTAGATCTTAGTCCCTTTGTTATCAAATTCTCGTAACCATGAACAGTGGCCTGCAGTTGTGTCACAAGATGTGCTGCGTCATGTTCATCAACTTAAAAGTAATGTGTTTGTCATTGCTGGGCAAGTCAAGGGGAAGACATTACTACCACTTCCAGTTGGATCAGAGCAGGTCTCAGATGCGGTGGAAGCTGAAGAAAAGTAAGTCATTTATTGACATAATTTATCAAAATAATAATTTTGGTAAGTTTACTGGTGGGAAATTAAAGGCAGTGAGCCGTGAAAATCCCTGTCCAATAGCCCAGGGCTAATGTATATTCCAGTCTGGTTAGTGCATTCTGTCCGTCATTTTCTCGATCATGGTTGAAAGATGTAAATAACTTACAGGTGGCTTTCAACACACGCCCTTGAAAATATGAAAGAAAAATTTGTGTCCTCAGCAGGATCATTGTTTCTAAGGCTTTCCTTGCTCAAGTAGTTCTATTCTACTTGTTATGTAACCCTGATTGTCTGGAAGGAGCCATGAAACACACAAGTGTCTCTTGGATTGGCCACGTTCTATCTACTGACACATCAATAAGTTGCCACGTATCCAGCATGGTTGCCCCGATGGTGTAGTGGATGTCACACCCAACTAGTATTGCGTGGAGACGTGGTTTCGCATCCTGCTTGGGACAGAAATTTTTCTTCCATTTTGGAGACGTGTGTCGAAAGCCGCCTGTAAGTTATTTACATCTTTCTATCATAGTGATTGTTTCTAAGGCTTTCCTGGCTTAAACACTGTCTATTCTACTTTCTCGATGAGCAAGTGAAGTTCCTGGGGAAAATTGTAGAGGAAACTCAAACTACAGAAACTGCTTCTTCTTCTCATGAAAAGACAAGGACATCTTAATTTTCAGGAACAATATGTATGTACCCAGACAAGTTACTGAAATGGCTAAGAGTCTTTAATGTTAAAGACCATTATGGTAATTGTGTTTGCTTTTTTTTTTTAAGGGGTGAACCATTTGACCGTGGCTTAGTTCATTCCATTGAATCAGTTATTATTGAATGGACACATCAAATACAGAGTGTTCTCAAAAGAAATTCAGCACAGCCTCTCCTTGAAGGACACAATCCTGGACCACTGGTAGAACTTGACTTCTGGAAAGCTCGTGCCGCAAACCTGGAGTGCATCTTTGAACAGGTTAGTTACGATAACATCAGCTATGAAAATTATAGCACATCTGTAAATAAGTATTTATTTATGCACAATTGTAGTTTCCAAGTTTTCAATATTAAATAACAGTGTACAATGATTGTTTTAATACAACACAGCTCCATGATGTAAAAGTAAGAAGAATGGCTGAGTTGTTGGAGAAGACACAGAGTAGCTATTTCCCAGCATTCAAGAAAATTTTCAAGGATGTTGTAGCTGGTAAGTTCTTTCTGGCATTCTGACCACAAGAGGTTGTCTCAGTCCTCTTTCTGGACCCCCTTCTGGACCCCTATCTGAAGCCCCTTCTAGATCCCCTTCTGGAACCTTATCTGGACCTCTTTCTGAACCCCTTATAATCCTCCCAGAAAATATTGGGTCCCTCATTTAGATAATTAAACAATTAAATTTACTTAACCAGTGAAGAAAGATGTGAGGCATTAGTTAATTCATGCAGCTGTGTGTTAGACAGGTAAGATGGCAACTTCAAACAAGAGAATGCTGTTGTTTAGCAGAAAGATCGAGAATTGTAAAGTTAAATTGAAGTCACAGCAATCATTAAACGTATATGCAATTCACTCATTGTTATATACATAAGTTAATAACACTGGCAAAGATTCAAGGCTATTACGTCTCTAACAACTCTGAATTTATCAAGTATTGTCCTGCAATAGTCATAAAACTTTAGCTGTTATCTTCCCATAGCTCTGGAAGAAGCAAGGGACATAAATATCCACCTGAAGCCTTTACGTCGCCTGCTGGACGACATGGAACAGTTTGATTTCTCCGAGCTGGAGAAGATCATTCCTGCCATTCTGCACACAGTTGGTCTTATCTGGGCCAATTCCAAGTATTACTGCCGAGCTCCAAGAATGATTGTTCTTTTACAGGAACTCTGTAACATGCTGATTGAAATGGTGAGTTCACAGTCAACATCACACTTGCGTGTAACTGCAGTATATTCATCGCAAGAAGAAAGGGGATTTTTCAATGCTCAGCCTTAAGAAATTTTCTAAACTATTAAGTACAAATTTCTGTTGTATAGTAGACCTTGTTCTTTGTCAGTACGTTAAATTTACATGCCTCCAGGGGGACTAACCATTTTAAAGACTGCTATGTCCTGCGCTACTAGGTTGGAGCTGTTTTCAGCTGAATCAGTAATCAGTATTATAAATTTGAAGAGTATAATGGCTCTGTAAAAAAAAAATGTTCAAGTGAAGATTTTAACAGCGGGGCATTTCAACATTAGGGAGTTTGAGAAAACCATGATGGCAACGGCAATGGGAACGTTGCTAAACAAAAGGTTTAATGACCAGAACAATGGCTGTGAACATGCGTTATAATTCTTGGTACATTTCTTTGCCGTTCTCTGCAAAACAACAACATGAAATGATCAGATTCTGCATTGTCCAGAAAATGTGAACCCCAACGGCTATTTTTTTATTTTTATTTCTAATGTTTGCCCTGTCTCAGATTCAGTTTTGTCATAGTTTTGACATTAAGAAACAAAGGAAAATGAATTTAGAGTATCGCAAGATTCGTGGGTAAAATATAAAATCATTTTTTAATCGACGTTGTCCTCCGCGTCGCGTCCTGGTTTCTTAAACTCCCCAATGTTAATCACTGAAACTGATCCTGATTAAAACCACTGAAACATGACACATCAAAGTATTAACCATAAAGACTCATTTATTTGTTTGACTTTCTCAATCTGCTTGTAGGCACGGACATATCTGGATCCTGGAGAAATCTTCAAATCAGAGGCAGAGGAAGCATATGAGAAAACACAGAAGGCAATTGAGATTTGCTCCTTCTTCAAAGAGACCTTTGAAGATGTCAGGAAAAATATTCAGAAATTCTTCAAGGAAGAACAACAAGTCAAGCAATGGGAGTTTGCCAATGAGCTTGTGTTTACCAGAATGGACCAGTTTATCTCAAGATTAAAAACTGTTGAGGTTGGTATGCTGAACATGTCTCTGGCTCTGGTTTTGAAAGAGGCGGCTTGACGGAGACTTGAAGTGCAATAGTTGTCAAATGTATTCACTTTCAACAAGGGCTGGTTTTGTTTTTGTTGCTGGGGAAGGGGAGATAATAGGAACCCGAAAAAGAAATGTTTCTTTCAGTGTTACTCCAGGGTATTTAGTTGTCATGTTGTACATATGAAGTGATCACTTATGTTTATTTGTTTTGTTACTAATTTAGGACCTCTTTGCCACTACTATGGAATTTTCCAAACTGGAGAAGGTAGAATTGGGTGGCATCAAGGGCAAGATGCTAAGTCATCAAGTTGTGGAGATCTTCTCTGAATTCAGTGAGATTTTTGCTGTGTTTGGTAACCGAACCTATGATGGCTTGGATGCAACCAACAGGGTATGTAGTGTGAGACATGGACACATGTTAAGTAAGTTATTGTCACTGTGCCTTCAGAGTTGCTGGAGGTCTATAGCTTCTCACTTGATAGTGTCTTGATTTTGTTTAAAGAAGGAATATGAAAGTTATAGATTTTTCTAAGTATTTGCAGAGATTGTAGAGTAGACTTAATTTAATAATCTGATAATTATTTTGCATTATTTCTGATCTTGGCTTCCAATTTGCTGTATTTGTAGGAATTTGTT